GTGTGTGTGTGTGTGTGTGTGTGTGTGTGTGTGTGTGTGTGTGTGTGTGTGTGTCTGCTGGCGGCTTGCCAGACCTCAGCAGGGACCGAGCTCTCGCATTTCACCACCCACCATCTGCACAGCACTCACACACACACACTCAGCAGGGTGAGCGATGCCTTCCAGCTCGAGCATCACTGCCAGTGATCTGGGTTAAGTGAGCCAGGACACACACCGAGACACACACGCACACCGAGGTGCACACACACACACAGACAGAGATGCGCACACACACAGAAGAAAGAGAAGAAGAGACATACATTTGCTAACGTCCAGCCAATGCTGTGCGTGTGCACGTGTGTATGCGTGCGTGTGCGTGCATGAACTCACCTCCAGCACCCCCCCTCCTCCCCCCGGCTTCTTCTTCAGCTCCTCGCACTTCCTGAACTTGCAGATCTGGTGACCCGTCTTCCTGTTGCGGCACGATGAGCAGACGCCACAGTTGATGAGCCGCCTGCACGGCCCGCACACGCCACATCGCTTCCTCTTTCTTTTAGCCACCGTCCCGGATGATGAAGATGATGATGACGACAGGGAAACGGCCGCCGCTGTCACGCCTGATGATGGGGGCGAGGAGGAGGAGGGGCAGGGGGAGGAGTTGGCATGCTGCTGGCAGTCTGTTAGCGCCCGCTGGCCGCCTGTCATCTGAAAGGCGCTGCTAGCATCTGAGATCCCGCCCCCTGCTGACCCCATCGCCATAACAATGACCCCGGGAGGTAGTCCCAGTCCCCCCAGGAAGCTGCCACCCATAACCCCTCCTCCGTTGCAGCTGCCACCCTCTGATAGGCCTATCATGTCCGCGTGGGTGTGTCCCTGCTTGTTCATGACGCCACAGTCTGTTCCGCCACTGTATCCAGGAAGGAAGTTCCCGTTGCTTGATGCCATGGCGTGATGGTGTGCCGTTCCCTGTGAAACAGGAAGTGAGGCAGTGTGTCCGTGTTTCTCAGCCCCTCCACCGTCACTGCTCCCACCACCTCCTCCCCCTCCCGACCCACTGCTGCTGCTCTGGTGCATGCTGGTACTATGGGGGTGCGAGGAGGTCATGTGACCCGGCGTCGCAGAGGGGTGATGATGGTGGTGGGGGTGGTGCGTCGGCGTGGCCGCCACGGGTTTAGGTCGGCCCCAGAACATTGCCGCCGGGTGGTTCATGTTCATGTTCATGTTGTCGTGGCAACCCCAGGGCGTCGTCGCCATAGCCCCAAGTCTGGCAGCAGTGGGAGGGAAGATGGGGGCGGCCGCGGCCAAGCGGGCGGCCAGTTTGGCTGACTGAGGGAAGTTTGTAACGTTCATGTTCATATTGACGTTGGTCTTGTAGAAACTGGCGATGGAGGAGCGGTAACGATCCATCTCTGTAGTGTAGTCCAGCATGGGAGCCAGGCCCGACACCTGCAGGACATAGCACCAATCACTGTTATCAATACCAGCCATAATCAATTTAAAAAAGCACACGGATAAAGTGGCTTTACAGGGAGGTTGGTGGGCAGAGCTGTCTTCATGGAGCAAAATACAAAGGACAGAGCGGTTCACCTGTTAATGGAGCCTCAAATATCAGCAAACACCAAGGCGACAGAGTTGATACTATGCCTAATGACGACTGCTAAAAGCTGGCTACACACCAACAAGTCCACCTTTGAATTGCCCAACAAAACCAAAATGAAGGTGTTGGAGTGGCCTAGCCAAAGTCCAGATTGAGCTGCTGTGGCATGACCTTAAACAGGCTGCTCATGCTTGAAAACATTCCAGTGTGGCTGAATTAAAACAATGCTGCAGAGTAAAAGTGGGCCAAAATTCCTCCACCATGACACGAAAGACTCATTGGCATTGCAGTCATTGCTTCCAAGGGTGGAACAACCAGGTACTGTTTAGAGCAGGGGTCCCCAATCCCAGTCCACGAGGGCCGGTGTCCCTGCAAGTTTTAGATATGTCCTTGTTCCATCACAGCTGATTTAAATGGATAAATTACCTTCTCAACATGTCTTGAAGTTCTCCAGAGGCCTGGTAATGAACTAATCGTGTGATTCAGGTGCGTTGACCCAGGGTGTTATCTAAAACCTGCAGGGATACCGGCCCTCGCGGACTGGGATTGGAGACCCCTGGTTTAGAGAACAATTACTTTTCACAAAGGAACTAGTGGGTTTGGATAGCTTTTTTCCTTAATAAATGAAACCATCATTTAAAAACTGTGTTTTGTATTTACTCAGGCTATCTTTGTCTAATATTGACATTAAATCTAAACGATTTACCGAATTTCCCAGAGGGATTAATAAAGTTTTATCTAATCGAATCTAAAAAAAAAATCCAAGACATTTATGCAAATCGCTACAAAATCTGGAAGGGAGCAAATACTGTTGCACAGATCTGTTCCACGTTTTCCTTCCTTCACAGCTTACAAAGAAATATCCGCTGTATTCACCAGTGCAGTTTTATTCATCTCTATTATTTGCCTACAAACATTCGTTCATGAGAGCCAATCTAAGAACTACTTTATTCCAAAGTACAACTCTTAATGAACAGTACCACATTCTGTCTTTGTAGTAAATCCATTTTTGCCTAGACTTCGTCTGTCATCTCACTGCAGGAAACATTTATTTTGCAGTTGGTCTGACCACACCGTCGCTGTATTCTCTGGAGCAGAGTGACAAGAAGGAAACTGAAAAGTAAAAGTTCTGTAAATGTGAGCATTAATTAAGCTGGCAGTCCCCCCCCCCCAGCTGTGAAAATGTGGGGGTCATTTTCACAGCTAATGGATCAATCCTTAAAAGGCTTGTTTCGTTCTTTGGAAGTAACGCAGTGGATTGGACTAATGAGAAAGCGTATTGACCGAACAATCGACCAGCTGACCCTGAGATCGGCGCCCTCGCAGCAGAGCAGCGGTGGGTTCTGTAATTGATGCCTACCTGGATGATCTAATTGAGTTTTTGGCAATGACCCGAAGCCAGTTTCAACAGGAACCTTCTAAATTTAATTTGATTTAACCTTCGCTTCACCCGCTGATTCTGCAGCCCTGCACTGGGAGACCAACATGGATGCAAAAGTTTACACGTCAACTCACCTGTCCTTGTCCACCGTAGCCATGGTGATTTGGGTGATGGTGCGAGGGGGCTGAGCTTCTCTGGAGCATCGAGGAGAGGTCACTGTCCACACACACGCCACTCGTCATGCCCGACATGACCTCACGCACACATATACATACAAGCGCACACACACACTCACTCACACACACTCAGGTGGACTTTGTTGCACAGGAAGCTAGTTAGTTCTGCGTGGTCGCCACGTTTTGCTCTGAAAGTAAAAAGAAAAGTCAGGTGAAGGTGCTGCATTCAATAAAGAAAACCCTCACTCTCGTGGATCATCTTTTTCAGGCTCAGCAACAAGATTTTCTGTGGTTTTAGTCCCACAAATGCACAACTCTGTTGCTTGTGAAGCTCGCACACAAGAATTTCACTCACATGTGCTGTACCAATGTACCTGCACATGTGATGTGACAATAAAAGTGATTTGATTTGATTTGACAAATGATCTACAGAGAGTATTTTAATGTAGCTGATTGATTGGTCAGTTAAGTCGGCAGGCCATTACCCTCAGTTATTCACATCTAATCTGAAAGTAAAGCCGTCAGAGGACATGAAAGACCGACTATCCTGTGACAGCAAGCGAGGGGAAATCCCTTAAGCCTGCATTCCCTCTGAGGTTCAGCAGGGGGCGACTGTTCATAGTTGCAAAAAGAAGTCTAACTGTGTAGAAGTCTGATTCTAACTCGATGTCTGACCTCGGCTAATGCTTTCCTAATGAATTTAAAAAAATATAGGAAATTTAGTCGAGAATAAGCTCTCCTCAAATCATCACATCAACAGCTCACTTGGTTTCAAAAACCATGATGGCAGCGCACAAAACGCTCCAACAAACTACCTGGTGACATCACGGTGGCTACGTCTTGTCTTTTATATGGAGATGGCGATGACACAAAGCTGCAAACAAAAGAGGAAACAAAGAACAAGCTGCCATCTTCTTCGTCTTCCTTTGTGGAATTCCCTTTTCCTCAGGTGATGACGTGCCCTTGAGCAAGCAAGCGCCGAATCCCCACCAGGGACACCGCAACATCCGACATCGAGTGAACTGAGGCCGCTATTTGCAGCTCGTCAGCGTCGGTTTCAAGGCCAGGTCGTGACCCCAGTGCTTCCACGGAGGGCACTCAATAGGCAAAAAAGTTCACGTAAGGCAGATCTCAGGTCCAAGCAGAGGCCTCGAAATATCAGAAAGGGTGGAATAATCTGATTATAAGTGACCTCTGACCTCTCGGTGTGCACACGCACAAACTCACACACAAATGGTTAAGTCCAACTGTAAAGGAGTCATTGTCGTTTGTGAGCGTGTGCAGAATAAACGGGCTGCAAATGTGTGAGCTTGAAAATGTGTTTGCATGGAGAAAGAAAGAGACTGAAATTGTGTCCCTGTGTGTGTGTGTGTGTGTGTGTGTGTGTGTGTGTGTGTGTGT